CCTGCCCGGTGGAGTCGCACGGTAGAGTCGATGGTCTTTACACTCTTCGGTCTTCACACGACCGCTTCCGCGGTAAACCTAAGCTTCTTTTTTATTCGTTTAACAAAACTCAAATTGAATTCAGCTGGACACACTTTCCTGTTTATCACAACAAATGGCCAAGCAAAGCGCACGACACTGACAAGGTACGCGAAGGTTACTACACACTGATCTGCTTTAACCACTATAGACTGCTGGTCTGCTGTAAACTCAAGCTTAGAGAGAACTCACTAGCAGCATATTCCACTTCCTGTCACACACTGAACTTGCTCAGATGTTGCAGTTTACTTAGCAGATGTTACATTAATCTCTCAAATGATTAATTCTGAAAAAATTAGAAATCATACAAAATCACTTCATGTATAATGCATGCCATCTAAGCAGTGTAAATACGGCAATATCATATTATATAATCTGTGACATATATGCTCAAAACTTATAATACTACATTTAATCACTGCATTCATTTATGCAGAGTTAGATGTGGTAATATTTTATTTAAGTAATATTAAAATGGATATTTATTCGTTTGAATCCAGCAGAATACAACACCATTTTTTGGCTGATGTTTTTATGATTAACACTGTGATTTTCTAATACTTCTTAGCAAGATGTTTTTTAAGCATTTAAAACATCTCATCGACAAAATTATGTCCATTTTTTCCCAGAAAACTCCGCTTTCTTTTTACATTTTGCTTTGATTGCACTTTTTATTTTATTATTTTATGTGTGTGTTTCTAGAGAATTTTATAATTCGCCACCTAACCCAAGATTTTTACTTAAAGGTTTTCTGTACTGTGCTTTTATGATTATAAACATTTATTTTTGTATTTATTCCAAGGGGGAAAATGTTACTGCAGAGCCAAACTCTATTATTTTCTGTATTGCATGCATGTGTTAGTTTAAGATGGTTTTTGGTGCTTGTTTTAGCAATGTTTATCTTTTTCATATATTAACCCGAGATAATCTAACTGCATTTGTAGATTAATATATAATGAGGTCACATTATGGATTAATATCATACGATGATATTTAATATAATGTGTTTTTTTTACATTACATTGTGTCTTATTTTCAGCTATGTGTTTTTAATTTAAGATATTCTTAAATATTCAAACATAATTTGGTGTAGATTATCTTGCTCTATATCTGAAATTTAAATTGGCAGTTAATAAACTAAGCAGTATTGTAATTTAATGTGTATGTGGTTTGTATGTATTTCCTTATTTATTTCTTTTTTGTCAATTTACTATATATATATATATATATATGTGTGTGTGTGTGTGTGTGTGTTTTAGATAAAAATGTTTAGTGTTATTTTAAAAAGTGTCTTCTGCTCATCAAGGCTGCATTTATTTGATCCAAAATACAGAAAAACAACTTCAATATTGTGAAATATTTTTTTTACAATTTAAAATGTGTTTTCTATTTGATTGTATTGTAAAATGTAATTGATTGCTGTGATCAAATCTGAATTTTCAGCATCATTACTCCAGTCTTCAGTGTCACATGATCCTTCAGAAATCATTCTGATTATCAATGTTGAAAAATGTTGAGTTTCTTTCTCATCGCGTCCACAGCGTGTGGGAGCGTTTTGATTGGTCGATTCGGTACTGGCGTCATGAGCGTCTTCAGTAATGTGCGGCGCATGCGCACTCGCTTCTTCGGCGGAGCTGATTATGAGGCGGCGGAGGGATTGATGATGGGGATGATGAAGATGATGATGATGATGATGATAATGCTGCGCGGATTCAACAACATCCAGAATAAAGCCCTGACGCATCGGTAAGAATCGTCGTAATCGTCGTTATAAGCGCGCAGGTGTCACGCGCCGTCAATCGGTTTATTCTGCTTTATCCCGATGATCGCAGCTTACATGAGCATCACACACAGATGCTTTATGATGTGTTTTCATCAACGCAGGTGCATAATAATGTGTGTTAAACATTTTGATTCGCAAGACTGTAATTCTGTACATATATTTGTTTATTTCGGGTAAATGGCCTTTGTAGTTTTAAAGAGGCCCTGGAAGTATGACTTCTTGTATCAGATTTTAATATATTTACATTTAAGTTAGTCATTTTGCAGTATAATATATATTTATATATATAATATGTATATTAGACTGATTTTCCACTTTTTTGTATGTGTATTGTTTGTTTGCGCTTTCCAGATTTAAAACAAATAAAAAATTTGCATTTAACTTAAAATGTAGCTTTCTATAAACACTGTTAGATGCATTTATTATGCCATAAATCTTTGGGGAAATAAAGTATTCAGCATTCAGTAATCAATATAAAATACCTGCGGCATTTTTGTATTTCAAGGAACATTAAATTAGTATAATATTTAAATATTATTTAAATACACTCTAATAAAACATATAGCAAAACATACAGATAATGCTCATATAAAAAGCTTAAAAGTGTCTTTTGCATGTGAAATGATCGATGCTAATCTGATTTCCTCCAGTGTTTATGTATGAAGTGACTGTCAGTCATTGGGCGGTAAGCTGATGAGCTCATCTGTGTTTCCTCAGCAATGGCAGCAGGGGCAGCGGATGGTGATTTATGGGGCGGTCTTCCTCATCATGACCCTCCTCATCCTCTACAGCTCCAACAGCTCAGCTGATCCAACATCCAGAATAAAGCCCTGACGCATCGGTAAGAATCGTCGTCTGCTTGTTTATAAGCGCGCAGGTGTCACGCGCCGTCAATCGGTTTATTCTGCTTTATCCCGATGATCGCAGCTTACATGAGCATCACACACAGATGCTTTATGATGTGTTTTCATCAACGCAGGTGCATAATAATGTGTGTTAAACATTTTGATTCGCAAGACTGTAATTCTGTACATATATTTGTTTATTTCGGGTAAATGGCCTTTGTAGTTTTAAAGAGGCCCTGGAAGTATGACTTCTTGTATCAGATTTTAATATATTTACATTTAAGTTAGTCATTTTGCAGTATAATATATATTTGTTGCAGTATGCTGTTCAGACCAAAATATTGGATTTTTCCAACAAATAAATAAATAAATATTAAGGTTCTGCTCATGTCTTAGCTTCATAGCCTTGTTTATATTTAAAGTAACTGGTGTCAGGTTTCAATGTCCTGGGTGTTTGTCTCCTGTCAGATTAAATATTAAATTGGTATTTTCTTGTGTGATTGACTGCCGTTTGCATGGACAAGCTGTTTTTTTTATTTGCATTTGATTCATATTTCTATAAAGCATGGCTTGTGTAAATCTTACACCATGGGAAATGGGTTCTTAAAATACCTCTGCATGTGATTTCTGAATATGTTTGAACAGAATTGGTTTATAATTGACACACAGGCTCGGTCTTACAGGTGTCAGTGTTTTTTGGCACAGAAAATGGATCCAGTTTCTCTGTCTCTCTCTAGGCATGAGCATTGAACCCTGATAGAAGAGTAGCAGGAGAATGAGACTGCGGATTGTAGATAAAGTGAGTAGAAAAACCCTTAAAAAATATGTTTTTAAATTATTTATACTACTGGTCCAGAGTTTGGATTAATTAGAATTTTTAAATGCTTTTGAAAGAAGTCTCTTACAAATGTCATCACAGGAATACATTTAGGATTACATTTCAAAATATATTAAAATAGAAAACAGTTGTTTGAAATTGTAATATTTCACAATATTAATATTTTTACTGTATCAAATAAATGCAGCCTTGGTGAGCAAAAAAGACTTCTTTCAAAAACATAAAAAATCTATTTTTTTTAATTATAATACAGACACACACACACACACACACACACACACAATATTTATATATAATATAAATTATATGAATATAAATATGTGCATGTAAATACATGTAAATATTTTCAAAATATATACTGTGTGTGTATTTATATATACATAATATATATACACAGTACACACAGATATATTATGCAAACAAAAACTTTTATTTTGGACGCGATTAATCGCAATTAATCATTTGACAGCACTAATATATATATATATATATAGAGAGAGAGAGAGAGAGAGAGAAATGCTGTAAATATCACAGCTAAAGTGAATACCAATTTAAAGTTTTTCTTATAAACATTCTTCTTGTAAACCTCCATCTTAAAATACATCTTGGGTGAATGCAAAATGTATTTAAAAAAAATAAAATTGTATTAATATACATATGTTTACTTTGAAAATGAATGAAAAATCTATATAAAATGTAAAATAAACAAAACAAAATAAAAACATTTGTCCAAAAAAAATGTATTAAGAAATTAAGTAATTTAAATATATATATAATTAATTAAAAACAATGAAACAAAAATAAATAAAAATAAAAATTTTAAAATAATTATATTAATTAATTAATTAAATATGTAAATATATTTTAACATCTATATTAGCTTTATAATTTTTGACCAATTTTTGTATATTTTGAAATATATTTAAAAATACATCTGATATATTATTTGCTGAATGGAAAGAAACACTTGAAGTCTTCATTAAATTATGGATTAATAGCTAATTAATCAAATAATTAATGATAATGATTAATAAAAAGAATTGAAATAATTAAATTAGAAAAAAAAATATATATAATAAATGTATATATTATTTGCTATATGGAAAAATGCAGTAGAATTTTTAAATGCCGGCTCACGTAAGTTGCTGCATTGTTGTTTCAGAGCATGAGCCTGCACTGCCGTCAGTGTGCGTTAGTCACCAGCTCTAGTCACGTGTTGGGGACTCACGCCGGAGACGAGATCGACCGTACAGAGTGCGTCATCCGCATGAACGACGCTCCAACCTCCGGCTACGAATCAGACGTGGGGAACCGGACCAGCGTGCGCGTCGTGGCTCATTCCAGTGTATTCCGTGTGGTTCGCAAACCCGCCGAGTTCCTCAATCGCTCAGAGAGCCCTGCCATCATATTCTGGGGCCCGTCGACGAAGATCGGCCGCGACGCGAAGGGAACGCTGTACCGGCTGATCCAGAGAGTCAGTATGACCTACAGTAACCTGTCCTTCTTCTTCATCTCACCTGGCAAAATGCAGAGGTTCGACACGCTCTTTCAGAAAGAGACCGGCCGAGACAGGTAAACACCGTCACTTCCTTTGGGTACTTTCATTTTAACATGTTTATGTATGTATTTTTAATTTTTTTTCAATGTTATTTTGTTGTTTTAATTGTTACTATAATATTAATTTTAATATTCAAATGCATCCCACATATTTGTTGTACTTCAAAGATGAATGTACACATAACTTGTTTGTTTACAGTTAAGCTACCTTTTAATTTAGGGCACCATGAAATCGCATATTTTTCCCAAATTCTTTGTTTTCCCTTTTTTTTCTGGATTTTGTGTTTTACGATTTAATACAAAGTGATCTTCAAAAATAGTGTCTAATGAAATGAATTTACAAAACAACTGTATAATTTATAAAAAATTGAATCGATTTTTTAAAAAATGCGATGAAATGAGAACAATTAGTTTGCAACAAAAAACACTGCATTTTTATTTTTATTGTATTCATCAAAAACAGAACTTGTATACTACAAGTTTACTATTATAGTTCTTGTTCATATTTAAATTAGATTTTATTTTTATTTTTTATTTTTTTATTTTATTAGTTTGAAATAAAATAAATTTTTTAAATATTTCATTTGTTAATGTATTTTATTGATTTAATTTTTGTTGTTTTGTTTTTAATTGTATTTTTATTTTATTTTATTTTATAATAAAACCTAGTACAGCATGGTTAAATATATATATTGGTTATATAATATGTATTAAAATTTAAATAATAATAATGTGGATTTATTTTTTCAATAAATATCAATATCGATTTATCGCCTAGTTCTAAAACAATAAAATACAACTTTCTTGTATTTTTATATATACAATAGAAATAAAAAATAAATATGGAGAAATTATGTAAGCTTAAATATATAATTAAATATAATTAATAAAATAATTATAATAATTAAATATGTAATTATATTTTTAACATTTACAAACATCCCTAAATTGTTCTTTATTGTATTGTTCGAACATTGAAATTGCTATATTTTTCACAGAAAAAAGTCTCAGTCCTGGTTAAGCACCGGCTGGTTTACCATGGTCATTGCCATAGAGATGTGTGACAACATAAAGGTTTATGGGATGGTGCCGCCAAACCATTGTGGGTAAGATGAAATCATTTGACCTTCAAAAGGTGCAGTTTCTCTCTAATGTTGATTGGGCAACAGTAAATTTCATCATGACATTATAAAGAATTATTTTTCAATATTTTAGTCTAAGAATGTATCACTAGAATATAGTCCCTGAAATATAGTTTCCTGTAGGAAGCGTCCTCAGCCCAAACGGATGCCCTATCACTATTACAAACCCAGAGGTCCAGACGAGTGTGTGACGTACCTCCAGAACGAGAGGGGGCGCCGCGGATCACACCACCGCTTCATCACTGAGAAACAGGTGTTTGCGCGCTGGGCCAAGCAGTACAACATCAGCTACAGCCACCCGACGTGGTGAGAAACACATCCAACATGCCTGGTGAGTTGGAGCCAACATGGTGGCTCTCTGTACCTCTGTGACCTTCTGATCCAAAATGGCTACCATTTCAAATTGCCTGCTCAGAACGGCTGCTGGTTTCTCTTTGATCTGGATTAGTGACTGAGCCAAAATGGAGGCCATGCAGGGATCCAGGAACAAGCCAAGGGTGGACTAGCTTAGTTTTCCTTAGAAAAATGAACAGATGATGGAACGTTTCTTGTCTCAAGCGTGACGGTTTCAAAAACATCTTACATACTACTGCCGTGAAGCTTTCCTAAGCCTTCTCTTACACAGTTTTTCACCCAGAATCGGTCATTTCTCAGAGAACGAAGGCCTTTTGGATGGAGAATGAAAGAGAAATCCTTTATGTCAGTTGCAAAATAGAAGATTCATTCACATCTCGTGGTACAATCAACACGTCTGAATGTTAGTCATGTGAAACTACCAGAGAATAGGAATGAGAATTTAACTACTTTACAAGATTAAGAGTATATTCTGTGGTGTAAATAAGAACTATGTAAATTGTTATTCCAAAAAAAAAATATTTTTACAAGTTTATATGGTTTTAAAATGCCCTAAACAAGACAATATTACAAGAAAATACTAAAAAATGGTCATTTTAAATCACATCCTTTTCAGATAAATAACACATTTTCTGTACTTTTTGGGAAGGTGTTGAAATGGACAGCTATTTATGCCTTTATACCTTTATGAATGAAGTTATATGAAACCTGACCAAATGTCAGTCAAAGTTCTAGAACATTCTATAATTCCATTTAATATGGCTCTAGAGGCTTCACTGAATCATCCACTACAAGACACGTCCGGGTCATTTTGCGCCACAAAATTAGAAGAGAAATGCGTTTTAAAGTATTTAAACACATTTCACAGCCAGTTTTCATTACTGAAATGAAAATGAATTTTAATTGTACGGTACATGTACATTATGTAAAGTATACATTATAGTAATATTTGATGCACTAAATGCGACAAGACACGTCCGGGTCATTTTGCGCCACAAAATTAGAAGAGAAATAAAGAAAACCAGGCCTATATAGGACCACTCGTGCGTTTTAAAGTATTTAAACACATTTCACAGCCAATTTTCATTACTGAAATGAAAATGAATTTTAATTGTACGGTACATGTACATTATGTAAAGTATACATTATAGTAATATTTGATGCACTAAATGCGATATATGCTTATTTAAAATAAAGTCAGTATATTGTGATTATTATTACTGTATTATCTAATTATACAGGAGTGTTGTTATTGTTAACTATATTACAAATCATTTTCGTTATTTGAAATGAAGCTGAAAAAAATGTAAAAATCTGATTAAAAACTTACATTTTAAAAAAACGTAACGAAATTTTTAAATGTTGCTTGAAATGAGTTTAAGTTGAATTCCTTTCAAAAGTGAACGTTTTACATTTTTAATGCTACATTTTTAAAAATGACTAAAACTGAAATTAAAATAAATTAAATAGAAATATTAAAAAGGCTAATAAAATACACAACAAAATTAATAAAACGTAAACTAAAATTAAAACGAAAACTGAAAATATAAAAAATAAAAGCCAATTAAAATATTACAAGAAAAACATAAATGAAAATTAGAAATGTTGCCGTAATTAACTAAAATAAGGTTAAGTACTAAAATGACTAAAACTGAAATAAAAAAATAAAGCCAAACAGAAATAATTACTAGAAAATACTTAAACATATAATAACTAAGGACATTTGCAAAACATATTACTGGACCTAAAATAGGCATCATGTTAAAAATAATTATGGGGTGAAATATGACCCGGATATATCATATAACCCAAGAAGTAAACAAAATGTACTATTATTCATAATCAACACCAAAAATCACTAACATACTGTGTCGCCGTTTATAATGTGTCGAGGCCTTTCAATTTATTATGACCTTTTTACCAAGTAGTTGTAATGTTATTGATCAGTTGTACAACTTGAATTTCTCTGGCTACAGCTGTTAGTGTATAACAAACCTTTATATATCACGCTATGACTCGCTTCTGTTTCCAAATGAGTATTTCATATGACTGTTGTAAATGCTCTGCTCTCATTGGACGACGCTGTTTCCGGCACTGTGCTTTCATTGGAGAACTCAAGTTGTCACTGGTAATGGGTAGTGGTAGTCTGGTTAACTTATGTGCTGCTTTGAATGTCTTGCCTTTGATTTGTACAAAACCCATAAATAACGGCTGATAAATAACACAACTGCTCGGATTCGTTTGCATTAAAGAAATAGTTCACCCAGAAATGAACATTTCTGAACATTTACTCACCTTCAGGCCATCCAAGATGTGGATGAGTTTGTTTCTTCATCAGATTTGGAGAAATGTAGCATTCCATCACTTGCTCACCAATGGATGCTCTGCAGTGAATGGGTGCCGTCAGAATGAGAGTCCAAACAGCTGATAAAAACATCACAATAATCCACAAGTCATCCACACCACTCCAGTCCATCAGTTAACATCTTGTGAAGCCAAAAGCTGTGCGTTTGTAAGAAACTAATCCATAATTAAGATGTTTTTTAAATTGAAATCATTGCTTCTAGCTAAAGCATGAGTCCATAATCCATAATAACGCTTCCTCCAGTGAAAAAGTCCATCCTGTGTTGTCCTGTCACATCAAAATCCACCAGCATAATTGTTTAGAAGTGTTTTGGCTTGTAAACGGTGCTTGATCTGTGCAGATTTCTCTCCTGGTTCTGACAAGATGACAGTTCACTGAAAAAGCAATATTATGCATAGAGGGTTCATATTTTAGCCAGAAGCAAAGGTTTGAAGTTTTAAACATGCAGCTTTTTGCTTCTCAAGACATTAACTGATGGACTGGAGTGGTGTGGATTATTGTGATGTTTTTATCAGCTGTTTGGGCTCTCATTCTGACGGCACCCATTCACTGCAGAGCATCCATTGGTGAGCAAGTGATGCAATGCTACATTTCTCCAAATCTGATGAAGAAACAAACTCATCTACATCTGGGATGACGTGAGGGTGAGAACATTTTCAGCATATTTTCATTTGTGGGTGAACGTGCATCGCCAAATGATGCTCATATCGCCTCTAATCATCAAGTGTCAAAAATCAACAAGCATGAGAAGAACTTATAGTTTTGAATGACATATTTCATTGTAAACATCCCAAGTATTTCTCATTTTCAAGTCCTGCTCGATAATAATCTCAGTTATCACCCATAATGTCGAGTGTTTTTTCTTCATTCATTTCGTTATTTAAAATCGACCATCTGCCCGAGCACAAGAGCAGAGGGATTGTGGGTAAAAACCATCTGGGGCATTTGTATGAAGATGCTTTAATTCTGGAAGGGTTGCAGACTGAAATCAGTATTATTATGATGATAATTATTACTCATGACTGCAGTGATTTGACAGTATGAGCTGACTGTTTTGCTCGTTTCTCATTATGAATGTTCTTTACATGCCTGTCTGAAAAAATAAACGTATACATTTGAAAACATACTTGAGTTTCATGATTTGTTTGTTTATAGTTATAAGCACGATATGCATGACAGTTCAGTGAGACAAACTAATATTTCAATACAAAATGATTCACAATAATGTACATTGATAAGGTCTTGACAGCTGTACTTCCTGTGGTTCTGCAAATGTACTTCCTGTGGTCATCCTTTGGATTGGTCAGGAAACACAGCTGCGATTTTCTGCCTGAGTCCTGATAAACTGATTAATATGGCCTCCTGTATGAAAGAGAAAAACATTCACTTAATTTCAACTGAACAGAACGATAACCATAGCGATTGCTATCCACATCAACACATGATAAGGTCTCGTTTATTACAAGCATATGCCGCAGTTTTTGTCATCTGCCACTTTGAATGCTTACGCTCTGATTCTGACTGACTGTCAATGTTTTTATCGTTCATCAGCTGGAAAAAAAATGAAAGGGACATTTTTCCTCTGTGTCGTAATAGTAAAATGCACAATATATGCACATAGTACAAAGTAAAGTATACACCATAGTAGTATTTGTTGCAGCGACTGTTAGTGCTGACTATATATTATGATTTTAATAACTGCATTATCAAGCTGGAGTGTTGTTACTGTTAACAAAAAGTATTTAAAAAAAATCATTAATTGAAATTGCTGAAATAAAAATATTAGGGGGAAAAAACTAATGAAAATTAGAAATGTTGCCTTAAAAAAACTAAGTGAAATAAAAAAAAGTTCAAGTTGAAGTAATAAAATTATGTAAAAAGCTGAAATAAGAAGCCCAATAGAAATATTTGTTAAAAATGACAAAACTGTCAAAAGCACATTACTAAATTTAATACAACTTAAATTAACAAAATATAAAAGCTCATTCAAAATTGTAATAAATACTACAATAGTATATAAACAATACTAAAATAACACTTATGCAAAAGGAATGTAATAGGATTTATTGATAGAATTAGAATGAAAAACATCTTTCTGGACCTAAAATGTAAAATAATTTCTTTTTTTCTTCATTTGTATTTTTCTTTAGATTGACAATTCTTTGTGAGCTTAACCTAACAAGTAAACAAAATGTACTATATTTATAATTGTCATCAACAATCACAAACTTTAGTTGTAGTGTGGACTTTCTATATTCTTATAGAATTAGAGTGATTTTTTTTTTTTTACTTTATAGTTCATTTATTTGCCGTGAACAGGCCTTTAAACAAGAAAACATGAACTTTGCCCAAAAAGGATTCTAGGGTAAAAAGATGTCATTTTCACTATAACAAGGTTTTGTTCAAAAGAAAACATGTTTCCCTATGGACCCCTTGATATAAATGCATGTTCTGTCTCACCTCGGTGCGGATGGTGCGACTGCCCTGCCCCGGACAGGTGTTGAGGTAAAGGTCAAAGAGCACGCTGGGATCAGTGACGTTCAGGTTCTCATCGGCATCAACACTCGCTTCTAAACCCTGAAGACCTCCGAACACCACCAGCATACGCCTGATAGAAAACAACATTGAGCTTTATTTCTCACAGAATATTTAAAGGAATAGTTCACCCAAAAATGAAAACATACTCACCCTCAGGTCATCGAAGACGTAGATGAGTTTGTTTCTTCATCAGATTTGGAGGAATGTAGCATTGCATCACTTGCTCACCAATGGATCCTCTGCAGTGAATGGGTGCCGTCAGAATGAGAGTCCAAACAGCTGATAAAAACATCACAATAATCCACACCACTCCAGTCCATCAGTTAATGTCTTGAGAAGCCAAAAGCTGTGTGTTTGTAAGAAACAAATCCATCAAGACATTAAACGGCTAAAATACGATTCCACAATACTGCTTCCTCCATTGAAAAAGTCATCTGGTCTGAATCAGGAGAGAAATCTGCACAGATTAAGCACCGTTTACAAGCCAAAACAGCTCTAAACAAACACGTGGGTAGATTTTGATGTGAGAGGACAACAGGAGATGGACTTTTTCACTGGAGGAAGCGTTACTATGAATTATGGACTCATATTTTGTCCAGAGGTGATGACTTGAAGTTAAAAAACTCTTAATGATGGATTTGTTTCTTACAAACACGCAGCTTTTGGCTTCACAAGACATTAACTGATGGACTGGAGTGGTGTGGATTACTTGTGGATTATTGTGATGTTTTTATCAGCTGTTTGGACTCTCATTCTGACGGCACCCATTCACTGCAGAGCATCCATTGCTGAGCAAGTGATGCAATGCTACATTCCTCCAAATCTGATGAAGAAACAAACTCATCTACATCTTGGATGGCCTGAGAGTGAGGACATTTTCAGCAAGTTTTTTTTTATTTTTGGGTGAACTATTCCTTTAACTAAATACATTCAT